GAACTCTCGAGTCAATCACAACTATATATTTTATAAATATTTTATTTACTGCTTTTTGCCGTATTTCTTTCACTTCCACCAGCACTTTAACGCGGCCAGATGGCCGAGCGGTCAAGGTGGCAGCCTACCGCTTTGGGGGACTCGGGTTCGAATCTTCAGGAATTTTTCGGGGGGTGGTCCATTCAGATATGTCTGCCCCGTCCTTCACCACCCGGCAGCCCCATTGTGGGCCTGGCCAAACCCATAATGGGCTTGCAAAAAGAGGCACTCTTAGTGCCCACAGGGCAGAAAGAGTACGAAAAAAAAAAAAACAGCACTTTCACTTCACTGGGTAGAGGTCGCTCGGTAAAATATCTATCCAAAGAGGTTTGGCTTTGCCTAGTTTTTAAAATGTTTCTAAAATGACTTAGGCAAATGTCATTAAACTGAGCAGCAATACGGCCAGTGTGAACCTTTTCGGAATGTTTCTTTTCAATAAAATCAGTCACTTTCTGATAATACCTCAAGATTTCCTTTATCGAGCAAGATCCTTCCATGATGAAGCAAACACGTGGACTGAGACCAATGAACAGAAGTGAATAAAAAATGGCACTGCAAACTAATGTAACGTCGTATGGTGAGATTTGTTCGTACTGTGAAGCAAAATTTTGTTCAAAATTCACGTCGTACCCTGAAAATTTTGTATGCTGGGGCATTCGTATCCTGATGTACCACTGTAATTATCAGTTAGCTTTATAGCTTAAGCTAAAATGTTGATTAATAAGCTAATTTTCTGCAAATAAATTATTAGAAAATGTTTCTTAAAATTAACAAATAATCATAAGATAATTTTTGTTAAAATTTTATTTCATTTTTATGTACAGTATATTACATAAGAAAAAATATTTAAAAAATACTTTTAAGCCATTTAAAAAAGACAAAAAGAAAAATATTTTAAAAAGTTCAGTTTATTTTTTAAATCTATAGATTTAAAAAATAAATTTTTTAAATGAATTTTTATCATTTATATTATNACACACATAACAACACAATCAAATTACAAGTATATATATTTGCACTTTTCATGATTATGTTTCTAAAGTGTGCATCTGAAATGTGCTGTGGCACTGCATTGCTGACCCCTTGTTTACATGATGCTCTGGAATACAACTTCTAAATTGTTCTGATTTGTGAGCATTCGTTTCTCTCGAGTGGTAAGAATGTGATCAAACATATGACCAATTTCATCGTTGATTGGTTTCACTGTAAGAGAAAAATCTGACAGATTAAATTCTCTGTGACGTCATTGCCAATTTGTTGAACTAAGGTTGTCAATAAATTACAAGTGTTGAATGACAGAATGTTAGCAATATTCATATTATGTAAACCAGCAATCCATCTTCAGATACTCTGAAATAACTTTCAAATTTAAAATTTCAAACTATCACACTAACAGTATTCCAGTTCAAACTTCTCTTTTAGAGTATCTGAAGATGGGTTGCTGGCCAAAAGTACTGCCATATTTTTGTACATCTAATCTACAAGTTATTTGTTTTAAAAGACAATTTGAGAGGATGTTGGATTGTACAATAGGGTGAGTTAAGAACCAATTTTTAATTAAAATTTCAGATAGATGCCTATAGAGCAGCTGTTGTTCCATATCAGGCACAGGTTATATGGTGTTACAAGTTATGCAAAAGTTTTATTTCTATTCTAGCAATTTTCTTAAGGTTATATGCATAAAAATACAGCAATTCTTATATTATTTATTAAGTTTAAACTCCATTAAAACACTTTTTATTATTATTTTTAATTAATTAAATTATAGAAGATTACGTTTATTCATCTGCCATATTTGTAGATGAATAAAAAATGCAGAATGATGAAAGATATACTGTAGTTTATTTTTATAAAAAACATATATAGATTATGTTTAGTAAAGTATATTATAATTGAGTATGTAATATAAAAATGCCAATTTTATAATAATATAAGAGAGCATTTCAGTGCTAAAAAATAATACAGTAATACCTCGGTTTTCTTTGACTTCGGTTATCGTCAGTTTCGGTTTTTGTTGATTTTTTTCTGCAAAAAATTTTTCTCGTTTTCATCAGTTTCCTTGGATTCCATACAACCTCATTGCTAATTTTGAGAGAACAAAGGACGACCCATGCATTTTCCTGCTCCGTGTGGCATTGTTTCTTGTGCTGTTTCTCATTTCTCATCTCAGCGTGATGATGTGAGCATTACCAACGTCTAGCGAATTCCATTGATTTCCTTTTCTTTTAGCTCCATCATTGGACCAAAGAAAGTTTCCAGAGCCAGCAGCCCTTCAAATGCCATGTTAAATGTTCATTTACTCTTTACATTAGTCTTTTATATTCATTTTATATTAATTTCTTTTCGTTTTTAGTATTGAACACTATATTTATTCTCTAGAAAATGTGTTTTTGGTATGTATTTTGGAGTGTCTAGAATGAATTAACATTGATTCATATGGAAATAATTGCCTCAGTTTTCGCCGGTTTCAGATTTTGCTGATTGTTTTTGGACGGATTATTAAAAAAAACTGAGGTATCACTGTATATCATTGTCTTGTTTTACATAGGGGTTGTGTATCAGTAGGTACTGCATAAAACAAACTTTTATGTAAATTTGTGGTTTATTTCAAATAGTCCTGATGTCTAAGTATTTATGCAACCATTTACAATTAGCAGAAAAACATTGAAATGTGTTTAAAACATTTTACCAATGTTTTTACTATAATGAATAACATTTTAGTTTGATGTTTCCAAATGTACTGTACCATACATAGTATAGAGTAAAATTATATTCTATTATATTGATCACACTATTTGAAACCCTGATTTGCAGATATTTTTTTCACCACAGTTAGTGAAAAAAATGTAGTACTATGTGTGGAATGTTAGATGCTGGAGATTCTGAATAATAAAAATAAAAAATACAAACTAGATTATTTTAAATGTAAATAGAATTAATATTATTAGCTGTCAAATTTATTTGCTAAAAATATTTTCAACCTACTTGAGAAGCTAGCATTAAATTGTATAAGGTACAATCTGATGATTGTACAGTATTCTTTATTTAACAATTCATTAACTATGTACAACATTCAAACCTTAATAAAATCTGAAAGAATTTGATCATTGAAACTTTATACAAAATTCAAACATTGAATATTTAAAAAAGTCAAACTTTTGATGGTGAACTCTGTTAGAAAATAATTAGTAGGGATAAAGATATTGTTTTATTTGAATTTGATAAATTAAATTTTAGATTTAATAGAATTAACTTATTGTAATTTATATTTGATAATTCTCGTCACTTGCTAATTGGAACTTTGTTTTTTATAGTGCCTTCAATACCTTACAGAACATGCTCAGGATGTTAAGAAGATAGAAAAACTGACTAGTTTGTTAATGAGACATATGGCTTCTAAAGAAAAATAACATTATCTCGCATTTAAATGATGAGACATTTTGTATATACTTGCATATTAAAAGTTTATAAATGAAAAGATTAATGCTTTTTCACTTCATTATGTAATACAATAAAATAATTACTGTAAAATAATAATTTAGTTCCTTTTTTAAATTGTGTTGGCTTAATAAGTTGCTCTTAATAAAGTATTAGGCTATCAATATGAATAATCTACATTGAATCTAATCTAGATCCTTGTAATTATTCATGAATATATAGATCCAAGCATTATTCTTATTCCTTAATTTGTCTTACAATGTCAAATCTAATACTGTGATTGGATCACATTGACAATGGTCACCATTAGACAAATTAAAATCTGCCTACAGTTAATCCAATTCAAATGTATGTTTAGTTTATATTTTATTAAATGTGAACTGTCAATGTTTTCTTATTTGCACAAACAATGATTAAATGAAATATTTAGATTTTTGAAAAGAATATGCAAATCATATTTATTAGAATTAATATTTCTAACATTAATAAGAGATATTGTGTGATATGTTGATACTTAACGGATCAATTCTAATTATATAGAATTGATCCATTAAGTATCCAAAACAGAGTGAATATTTCAAATAAACTTATGTTGGGAAAAAAAATTACAACTGTATAGTTTTTACATCAAAGAAACGTAATACAATAATGCAACTTTTATTATAAGACTTATTGTATTATTTTTTCTGTGGTGAAAACTGTACTCTTGTACTTTCATGCATATATAATTTCATGCATGCTTGAATGAATGTTCAAATTTCATGAGTTATATACTCATGAAATTTGAACATTTATTCAAGATACAGTATGTACTGCACCATGAATTCAGAGGAAGCAAGTTCTTGGTTTATCTTCAGATTTACTTGAGATGCAAAGAAAAACATCATAAAATTCACATAATAAGAATGATATCCAAGGTTCCTCAATCTTTTCATATTTCTTTCATACTCAAATTGTTCTACCCATTGCAGAATGCTGTTATGAGAAGAAGAGGCTTTACATGTTTTGAAGTTCCTTTAAACAGTAACTAATTTTGATTCTGCCATCCATCAGAAACAAGCAACTTCATGGTGATTGTGTGCATTCTCAACTCTAATGGTCTCTAAAATACCATCAGTTGCTCAGTTTGATGTGTTCATATTTATCAAACGTGTTAAAAGGCTGTCTAAGGTTTAAATTGTTCAAAAGTTCCTCTGGTGTCATATACTCATAAAAGTCATTGGACTTACAGATAATTTCATAATGGTTTGTGTATTTAGTCTTCCAATTTTGCTATTTTTCTAATACATTCCTGGATTTTTAAAAATTTTTTTATGAAGGAAATTTAACTATTTGATGCCAGTTTAAAAACTTTTATATGTACTGTACAAGGTAGTATTGGAAAGTTCCAGAACTGTAGCTAAATGTGACTTTACCATTCAACCAAACTGCATGTACTGGTGAAAGTCATCATTTCTACTTTACTGCTGAGTCAGCATACTGATCAGCATACATTCAATCATTACATATGGTTTTGTGAAGTACAAGGACTGCTCTGCAATTTTGAGTGTCTGATAAATTCAAGTAATGTGTGCATCAATCAAATTTTGTGTCAAGCTTGGGAAATTACAATCAAGACCCTCAAAATCCTTCAGCAGACTTTATAATTGGAAAAAATAAAGTTAAAAACTGCAGTGGCGTGCAGTGACATTTGATGATAGAGAAGCTGCGTTTCTGTAAGAAGCCGACATCCAGGGGCAATCAGTCAATTGAGCCTCAGTGATGGTCTAGGGCAGGGATGGAGAACCTTTTTGAGTCTCCGTGCCACATAGTATATTAAGCATACTTTTCTTTAAAAATGTTTATGCGTGCAGAAGTTTTAGACTTCGAGTAACTGTATTTAAATTTGGCCGAGTGGTCAAAGTGGTAGCTATTGCTTTTGTAGACCCAAGATCAAAACCCCAGAAAATTTTCAGATGGGTATCCATTCTTCACCACCCAGCTGTCCCATTGTGGACTTGCTAAATAAAAAAGCCCTCTTAGTACCCACACGACAAAAAGAGTTTTAAAAAACTATTTTTAAATAAATAAAATAATACACTGTAATTAGAGTAAATGTAAAGAATCTGATTGAAAAATATGATAAACTGAAATCATATAATTTGTTACGTGCCAGATTTCTTCGACATGCCACTTTGGGCACGCGTGCCACAGGTTTGCCACCTCTGGTCTAGGGTCCATTCATATCGTTTATTCAATAAGCCAGTAAAAACCATAGACTTTTCTAAATGTATTTTTAATATCACAATTACATTCCGAATCACTAGCCACGATATAAGGGCTACAATTAAAAATAAAATAATAACAAATTACTCAGTGAAATAAAATGTGTGGTGGATGTACCGGTACATACCTGGTACAAAATATTCTTCAATTGTATGAATATACTTTTAAAGAAAATTATAATTAAATATAGCTTTGTAAAGAAACGTACATAAAAATATAAAATATTCTTTACTTTTTAAATCTTAAAACAATGCACTTAGTCAAAT